GGTTTGAATCGTATCTGTTATTAATCTCTGTCTCTCTACCACAGCATGTCTTTATCCTGTCTTCCTTCTCTCATCCCAACCGGTCGCAGCAGATGGCCCCGCCCCTCCCTGAGCCTGGTTCTGCCGGAGGTTTCTTCCTGCTAAAAGGGAGTTTTTCATTCCCACTGTCGTAGGGGTTCATATGATTGTTGGGTTTTTCTCTGTATCTATTATTCAGCTGTCAAATACTTTTTTTAATGTTTGTCTTTTATTCTTTGGAGCTTACAAGCCACAAGAGAGAGCAAAACTAAAGAAAAGAGAACACATTAAGGTTACTTAAAACTAGGAATACATAACTAAAAAAGTTGTTTAAAAAGTTTTATCTGTTCCTAAAACTACACTATTTCTTTCTTCTCCTTTTTAGTTTCAGCACGACTCAGTTGTTTATCATAATTATTCATCAAAAGGTGGAAGAGCAAAATGTCAAGAGCATAAAAGACTGGAAAAAAATGTTTTTGTAATTCAGATGTTTGTAAAAAGAAAACTGGTAGATGTAAAGTGTTAAGTTGTAAAAAATGAGGTTTTGTCTCTTTCCATTGCATTGCACAACAAACCAAGGTCAGCAAATTTCTTCTGTCATAGTTCAAAGTGTTCATTTTATTCTTGGACGCTACTTGAGTAGCTTTGCATGAATCACAGTTCAAAATAACCCTTCGTTATCTGCCTTGGAGCAGCCCGTAGTTTATTCTTTTGAAACAAGCTTCTTTTTTTTTTTAGCTCCTTCATATTTAAGGCAACTTTCACTAAAGGCTGCTCCTCAAAAACAGAAGGATTGGAGAGCAGGTGGGTGGAGTTTCTCTGCCCAAAATGTCCATGTTAGCTGATGTGGGGGACCAAAACTGAGAGTCGAGCAAAGCTTCGAGCCGTGAGCCAACAGTGTTGTTTGGCTCACAAACACTGACCACATTATGTGAAACTTTGAAAACACAACAAAAAGATCTTTTATTATTAATACTTTATTGAGGTGACTTTTGTTGTGATTTGGCGCTATATAAATAAATTGAATTGAATTGAATTGAATTATTTATCCAGGTAAAAATGGATATCCCTGGAATGTCCCTCCTGCATTTTGACTTGATGGACTAACAGTTAGTTCTGTTATCATGTTCTGTTGGAATAGATTGTGTTTGTTTTTGCTTAGGAAACAAACTCAATTTTAAATGCCTCTGAAAGGATGGAGTAGTGTATTTTTCCTTCCTTCTTCTTTTTCTTCCTCAAAAAAAACTTTTAAAGAAAACTAGTCAGTTAGTAGTCACAGTTAATAATTCTTCACATTATGGCATTATGATCGTGATTTTCTGTTTGCTTCAGATAGTTCCAAAAGTAGTCCCAATGTTTATCTTTGTCTTCTGCATCATTTTTAAGTTTATTGAGCATGGACTCATAGGAAGCAGTCTCTGCCATTGCTCTGATCCCATCTTTCAGCTCAGGACATACTGTAGTATTCCAGTGCCTGAGGATAACCCTCATGCAGTTACTAGTCCAACCATAACAACAGTAAAAATATTTTTATGAATTTTTGGGATATGAAAGTGGTCTCCTAACAAACACAATCCAGGAGTTAAGGGCAATTCTAATCCTGACCAACCTTTTAGAAGTGTGACAACTTCCTTCCAAAAAGGAGCTACAAGGGAACATTCCCAAAACAATTTAAGAAAGTCCCACCTCAATTTTGCATTTCCAACAAAGATTGTCAGGTATATGCTTCACAGGGCTATGTGTTTATTATGTTTCTTATGTGTAACTATAGTAACCTGGGACACTGGAACACTTTGGGCAAATATAGGTAATTAATTAACACAGCTGGAGAGAATTGGTAGTCTGCTCCACTTCACCACTATAATGGGTTTGTTGTTGTTTGGAGCTCGACATGGCAGTGTTGTGTTCTGTTCAGACTCAGATGTGATGATCTTCTGGTCTGAGAAGAGGAAACAAAGAGGCAGGAGTGATTCTACGTTCAGGCTTTTATTTAAAAAATACCCATAATTTAATGGATATAGTCTCTTCAAAAGAGCTGCTGTAACAGGCTGCCACACGCTGTAACAACAGGTTATGCTTGCAAATGTTGTTAATTCTTCACATTTTTTTAAGATGTATTTCAACTGGGTCCATTAACTGTGTGGCCTTCAAAAGCAAGTCATTAAATTGGATGACCAACTGTAGTGTCTAATAGTGTCCTGACCATGACAGAAAATAATGCTAAAAGGAATTAATATTACTGCTATTTGTACTTTTAGAGGCGCTTGAGTATCCCCAAAAGCATCTAAACTCACCTATGCAGAACGGTTAAAGGTTTCAGATTATAACTGTCCACTTCTACAGCAGCCAATCAGAATAGAGAGACACCCCCCCCCCCCCCCCCCCCAAAAAAATAAATAAATAAATAAAATAAAATAAAGACCACTGAACTCCACAAAAGTGCTGCTGGCCCTGTGCTGGCCAAAACAGTCTCAGTTTCAGAGTTCAAATAAACAGAATTCTAATAAATGCTCCACGTATACAGTAACTCAATGGGAGGGAGAGCCTTCAGTTTTCAGGCCCCTCTTCTGTGGAACCAGCTTCCAGTTTGAATTCAGGAGACAGACACTATCTCTACTTTTAAGATTAGGCTTAAAACTTTACTTTTTGCTAAAGCATATAGTTAGGGCTGGACCAGGGATTCCCATGATGCATTGAGTTATTCTTCTTCAGTCGCTATGTGTTAATAGACCTCTCTTCACTAAATCATACTTGTTATTAATTTCTGGATCTTTCCATGTCTTTTATCCTGTCTTCCTTCTCTTACCCAGCAGATGGCCGTACCTCCCTGAGTCTTTTTCTGCTGAAGGTTTATTCCTATTAAAAGGGTTTGTTTGGTTTTTCTTTATTATTGTAAGGTCCACCTTAAAACCACATTGACAATAGCTAAACTTAATGTAGAAGGAAGATAGAAACCAGAGTATTTGAATTGTGCGGTTGCATGTAGCCATCACACACACAAAAAGGCTAAGACAGGTTTTCACTTTGCCTCAGTGACAGTCTGGAATCTGTTTAATCATGCAGCAGGATCACACACACATTTATGTGCCACGCATTAGTGTTTTATTTTTTCTTCATCTGTTTCAGATCAGATTAAAGCTGCATGCTGAAAAAAAAAAAAAAAAAGCTAACATGGTGCAAAACCCCCACTGCAGCTGTTGGGAGGGGTCATACAAAAAGTGAAGTGATCAAAGAAAACTGTTCAAAGCAGTACAATGGATAGCACGTGTCTACTGTCGCTGATATGTAAGTCCACACTTTGTTTTTAAGATTAGAAAATATTTGTATATATTTTATATATGCTGATATAACATATTTAGTTCTCAAATACTCCTTTTAGTGTTTGTTTTGCCAAGCTTTTGGAGCTTAAAAGGCGTGACAAGCAACAAGAGAAAATATTAAGGGTGTTTTTCATGGTTCCTACAACACTTTTATTTATTTACTTACTCAGGTTACTTAAAACTATGAATACATAACTAAAAAAACTTGTTAAAACAGTTTTATCGGTGCCTGTTTCTTTTTGTTTTAGTTTCAGCGCAACTCAGTTGTTCATTATATGTTCATCAAAAGGAGGAAGAGCAAAATGTCAAGAACATAAAAGACTGGAAAAAAACATTTTTTGTATTTCAGGTGTTTGTAAAAGAAAAACTGGTAGATGTAAAGTGTTAAGGTGTGAAAAGGAAGGTTTTCTGTCTGTTCTCTTTCCATTGCATATATCCAGTCTGCTGCTTGCTACTTCATCTGCTCAGCCTGCTAAAGATCATCATGAAAACATCACTGCACATCTGGACTCTTTTTTTTTTGGTCTCAGTTGTGAAATGTCAAACTAACACATCTGCCTTTCTTTGTAGTTCTGATCTCACTGTTGAGCTGCACAACAAACCAAGGTCAGCAAATTTCTCGTCTTATAGTTTAAAGAATTTATTTTTATTCTTGGACTCTACTAGAGTAACTTTGCATTAATCACAGTTCAAAACTAATCCTTCTTTATTTGCCTTGGAGCAGCCCTTTAGTTTATTCTCTCTCTGAAACAAGCTTTCTTTTTTTTATAGCTCCTCCCCATTTAAGCCAACTGTCACTAAATGGCTGCTCATCACAAAAACAGAAGGTTTTAACAGCATGTTGTGGCTGTAGACCCTAGAAAAATAACTATATGTCCTACTGACGCTGTCCACCGATATTGTGACTGGCATGTTCAGTTCTTTTTCAGTTCAGTTCAGTTCCTGGATGGAGATTACTGAAACTAAGTGTAAAAACTTAAGGGGCAAACATGCTTGCCTCTGGAAAAAACAAATAAATAAAAAAATGACACAGAGTGGAGACCCAGGAGGGAAGAACATCCAGACTTCTGTTTGTTTCTATTGCTGACACATCCACCAATTGTGCTTTTTTTTCTTCATTTCAATAACATGTAAAGTTCAAGAATTTGTCATTCACCATTTTTTACATTAATTAATAATTGTGTTAAATTTTGGTTACAATTACGGATTGTATGATTACAATTTTTGCAATGAGTGTAAAAAAAAAGTAGTCATATTTATAAAATAGGAAAATTGGAAAACATTTGAAATGAGCTACAGTGACCATTTTCTTTGAGACCACATTATGGAAAAAGAAAACTTCAAGAAGAAAGACCTATATAAGACAAACCTACAACTGACAGCATTTACTGAATAGATAAAAGTATAATTATTGATTATGATAGAATACACAGACAGCAAAAATATGAAAACTGAGGAGCACTCAAAGCTGGTCACTGGAAACGTATGCAATATCATGTATTTTCAACGGGAGGCCAAAATATTACAAATTATTTTAAGTGTAACTGGCAGAGTTGCTGTGTTGGAATGGATGTGAGATTTTTACCCCAAAACAAGGCTGCAGAGTTCATTTTGATTTAGTTTTAGTGAAAGTTGATTCACATCATACCCTCTCCTTCACAGCTCGTCTGACTGTGAGTCCCAGCAGCTCCCAGCAGCTCTGTTTAAAGATACATTTGTGTCTCTCAGCTGTGAGGAGGACGACAGCTCTGCTGGATGGACTCTGAGGAGAAACACAAGCAAACAACAGAGGACTCAGTGTGGAATAAAGTGGGGAAAAGCATCTGGTTCCAACTGTAACATCACTGGTGTTCTCCCATGGGACAGTGGAGTTTACTGGTGTGAGTCCAGAGAGGGTCCCATCAGTAACATGGTTAAGCTGACAGTCACTGGTAAGCTGAGTGTGTGGAGTTAGTGTTGATGAAGCTGTGTGTAAATGGATGAAATGCTGTAGTTTGTCTCTGTGTTGAGGTGGATCAGTGATCCTGCAGAGTCCTGTCCTCCCTGTGATGGAGGGAGATGACGTCACTCTGCTCTGTAAAACAAAGACCACTCCCTCCAACCTCCCAGCTGCTTTCTATAAAGATGGCTCCCTCATCAGGAAGCAGCCTACAGGTCACATGACCATCCAACATGTTTCCAGGTCTGATGAAGGCCTCTACAAGTGTGACATCAGCGGTCATGGAGAGTCTCCATCCAGCTGGATCACTGTCACAGGTGAGGAGCTTCACTCTGATTTCACCTCTTATTTCATCCACATATTCACCTGAACAGGTGGGATTCTCTCTGCAGGTAAAACTCCAATTATCCACTGAGCTCTCTCCTGCATTTTGACTTTACAACAATGGGCTAACTGGTGTTGTTCTGTCTATACTGACCTATTAATTAATAATCAATATCTGCCTCCAGTGATAAACACATCCACCAGTGGTGAGCAGGGATTGGACAAGGAGGTTGATGATGTCACCCCAGAGCATCACAGAGCAGTTATGAACTGAATCAAACCAGCGCTGTGTGTTTATCAGCTGTTTCCACTTTGCTTTTGTTTACATGTTTTCTGAACCAGATCATAAACTTTTGACTCTACATGTATCATCTGTTCTCAGGAAGACTTTGTCATGTTCCACGATCATGTCCCAAATTTGTTTAAATCTTTAGCTCCTCCCATTAGTGTGTCTGGTTGTGTGTGCACCGCTCTTTGCTGTTTGTTCTTAGATGAAATCAATAGTTTTTGTAAATAAAACACTTAACCATTGTACATTCTGAGTGTTTTGCACAAGGTCAAGTAGGAGTCAGAAGACAGCTATATTATTTTTTTATTTGTTTTGATTTAAAAATTGTTTCCCCTCTTTTTCATTGTTTAGGAGTAGCGGTGGGCCAAGCAAGGCTGTTTATCCATCTTTAGCTTAAACCTATAGGAAAGAATATGTCAAGTCACACACATGATATTTTAGAGAGTAATATTTTGCTTACAGTGGGGCAAAAAAGTATTTAGTCAGCCACCAATTGTGCAAGTTCCCCCACTTAAAATGATGACAGAGGTCAGTAATTTGCACCAGAGGTACACTTCAACTGTGAGAGACAGAATGTGAATTCATAGCAAGAACTGAGTTTGTACAATTCTAATGAGCTTGAAAGTCAATATTTGGTATGACCAAATTTATTCTTCAACACAGCCTGAGCTCTCGTAGCCAAGCTTTCTTGTCATTTCTTTAAGTTGTCTTCAGGAATAATCCTCCAGCCTTGTTGAAGAAGGTTCAAAACTCTTGGATGTTGGCCACCTTTCATTCTGTCCTCTGTCACACTGTTTCAATAATGTTGTGGTCTTGACAATCCATGACTGATTATGTTTTACTGTGTGTTTTTCTATCCAGGGTGTGCTTTTACTCCATTGACAGTGTGTTTGGGATCATTGTTACACTGAAAAATGAAGTTGTAACCAATTAGACGCTTTCCAGCTTGTACTGCACGGTGAATCAGAATCTGGTGGCACATTTCTGCGTTCATAGTTCTCCAACTGAACTGCAGCCCTAAGCCATTACAATCTGTTACCTGCACAGTGTTTTCCACTTGTACAAAGGTACAACAGACTGTTGAACCTCTCTCTTGATCTCATCTGTACATACTGACAGTGATTTGAATCAAAAATTTCAAATTTGGATTCATCACGTCATAGGACCTGTTGCAACTGATTTTCAGTCCAGTTCTAGCGTAATCTCGCACACCTCAGACTTTTTTCCTTAAAAATGGCTGCCACACTTCCACTGAGACCATTTCTGATGGGCCTTCAGTTAACAGTAGATTGATCAACTGATGGTCCAGATTACTGTCAGGTCCTGTGTCAGATCTTTAATGGACTGTTTTCAAAGGATATGACTCTCTGATACTGTTTATCTGCGGTATTTAGTTTTTTAGGTCTGTCACTTCTTCTTTTGTCCATACTGGACAATTTTCTTTGTCCAGCTTCCTTGACTTTTTTTTACAAATGCAAAGCAAAAGCAAGAAATGCTAGGTTTTCAGTGAATAGCACTTGGAAGTCACCTTGTTGGTGCAAGAATACTATTTCATGTCTATAACCCGTGTTATTGTTGGTGTTTTTCATAGAATCAACGAAATAAACTGGAACGAATTAGGTTTGTTTTGTTTTTTGCAACAGGCTGATAAACATACTGTGGGGCAAAAAAGTATTTAGTCAGCCACCGATTGTGCAAGTTCCCCCACTTAAAATGATGACAGAGGTCAGTAATTTGCACCAGAGGTACACGTCAACTGTGAGAGACAGAATGTAAAAAAAAATCCATGAATTCACATGGTAGGATTTGTAAAGAATTTATTCGTAAATTAGGGTGGAAAACAAGTATTTGGTCACCTCAAACATGGAAAATCTCTGGCTCTCACAGACCTGTAACGTCTTCAGTAAGAAGCTTTTCTGACCCCCACTCGTTACCTGTATGAATGGCACCTGTTTGAACTCATCATCTGTATAAAAGACACCTGTCCACAGCCTCAAACAGTCAGACTCCAAACTCCGCCATGGCCAAGACCAAAGAGCTTTCGAAGGACACCAGGAAAAGTATTGTAGACCTGCACCAGACTGGGAAGAGTGAATCTACAATAGGCAAGCAGCTTGGTGTGAAAAAATCAACTGTGGGAGCAATCATCAGAAAATGGAAGACATACAAGACCACTGATAATCTCCCTCGATCTGGGGCTCCACGCAAGATCTCATCCCGTGGGGTCAAAATGATCATGAGAACGGTGAGCAAAGATCCCAGAACCACACGGGGGGACCTGGTGAATGAGCTGCAGAGAGCTGGGACCAAAGTAACAAAGGTCGCCATCAGTAACACACTACAACGGCAGGGAATCAAATCCTGCAGTGCCAGACGTGTTCCGCTGCTGAAGCCAGTGCATGTCCAGGCCCGTCTGAAGTTTGCCAGAGAGCACATGGATGATACAGCAGAGGATTGGGAGAATGTCATGTGGTCAGATGAAACCAAAGTAGAACTTTTTGGTATAAACTCAACTCGTCGTGTTTGGAGGAAGAAGAATACTGAGTTGCATCCCAAGAACACCATACCTACTGTGAAGCATGGGGGTGGAAACATCATGCTATGGGGCTGTTTTTCTGCCAAGGGGACAGGACGACTGATCCGTGTTAAGGACAGAATGAATGGGGCCATGTATCGTGAGATTTTGAGCCAAAACCTCCTTCCATCAGTGAGAACTTTGAAGATGAAACGAGGCTGGGTCTTCCAACATGACAATGATCCAAAACACACCGCCCGGGCAACAAAGGAGTGGCTCCGTAAGAAGCATTTGAAAGTCCTGGAGTGGCCTAGCCAGTCTCCAGACCTCAACCCCATAGAAAATCTGTGGCGGGAGTTGAAAGTCCGTGTTGCTCGGCGACAGCCCCAAAACATCACTGCTCTCGAGAAGATCTGCATGGAGGAATGGGCCAAAATACCAGCTACTGTGTGTGCAAACCTGGTAAAGACCTATAGTAAACGTTTGACCTCTGTTATTGCCAACAAAGGTTATGTTACAAAGTATTGAGTTGTATTTTTGTTATTGACCAAATACTTATTTTCCACCCTGATTTACGAATAAATTCTTTACAAATCCTACCATGTGGATTCATGGATTTTTTTTTTCACATTCTGTCTCTCACAGTTGAAGTGTACCTCTGGTGCAAATTTCTGACCTCTGTCATCATTTTAGGTGGGGGAACTTGCACAATCGGTGGCTGACTAAATACTTTTTTGCCCCACTGTATGTTATCATGTTCTGTTGGCATAGACTGCTTCTGTTTTTGCTTGGGAAATAAATTAAATTTTAAATGCCTCTAAAATGATGGGGTACTGAACTTTTTTGTTTTTGTGTAACTATAGTCACCTGGGACACTTTGGGCAAATATAGATGATTAAGTAAAGACTGTGACTGGATAGAAGAACATGAATGACTGACGTATGCCAACTGTGATTTTTGCCTTTTCTCAATTTGTGTGATCACATTGAAGGTCCTCACATAATTTAGCTTCCAGGTGGGAACACAGCTCTTCTAATCAAGTTTAAACTGAAGTAACAAACACACCAAGTCTGGATCTTTTTGAAAGTAAAAGTTAATAAATTATTGAATGCTTCTCATTGCTAAATTAGAGGGAGCGAAACATGACTCCCTCCAAAGCTATAAACTCACTGAGACATCTTTCAGGAGCAGATTCAGGAGCACACACAAAAAACACATGAAACATATTTTTGATCTTTGAGTTCCAAAGCCTGAGTTTAACAGAGAATCACAAGAAACATTGGAGAGAAAAAAAAAGATGAACTATTCCGAGATCTCGCAAAAGGTTCATTACAAAATAAATAAGGAATAAAAACAGGCCTCAAACTCCAAATTGTGCTGTACCAAACAAATTCTAAAAAACTCCACAAGATGGCACTCCAACACAAGGAATGAAATTATACCTGCTCAGGCAGGTCAGCGATCAGGTCCTCCAACTAACCTCTGTGCACCAGGAATACAGCTCCATAACTCCTCTGCTTAACAGTCACACAATTCAATGTTCCTGTTTTTGTATCCAGCTGTGAGGTCAGTTTTAACATTTTGGCAATCAGCTGTTTAATCTGTTTCACACCTACACACATAAATTCATTTGGGATTTTCATAATAAAATTATTTGTGTGTTAGCCATTGTGTTTTTATTGTACTCTTTATTAGTTTACTCTAATCTGTATTTGTGACTGAAAGGACCTGAGGCACATAACACTGCAGGCACGTGAATATTTTATGTACAGTGTGTTCACTCTTGCTTCTACAGCTTTCGAGGCCTCCAGTGCAGCACAGCTCAGCATCCTGCTCAAATAGGGCGGCATGATTACATGATGGAGGTCACCTGTGTGGGTCACCCTGCAGCTGAGCCACAAACCACCACAGTAAATTAACTTAATTGATAAAGCATACAAAAAAAAATCTCAAATGCTACTTTTATCAAATCTTACTTCAAATTACAAAAGTTTGATGGCCTTTTCATTTAAGCACCTCCCACTAACACACTAAGGACTGAAAAAGAAATACAAAACACTGATACATCTTAAAACTTTATTTATAAAAACATGTTTCTAAACAAACAAACAAAACACTTTTGATTTGGGGCAAACAGTCACTACTTCTACTCCTTGTATGTCTCTCTGTCATTCACTCACATGTATTCTGTGTTGTTTATACTGACTTTCATTCGTCTTCTCACCAGTGCATAACTCCACTTGCTTCCTGCTCTCACTACAGATCACAGTGTTTGCAAAGTCATTTCACAGCATTCTTCTGAATTTACAATTAACTTGAATTACAGAGAAATAATAAGGCAGTGCACGCTGGTAAAGACACTGACAGAATGTGTTGTTGATCCAAAAACCAACAACACCACTAACAGCAAAAACTGAAAGACCAACTATGACTCCAACAGATCTACCTTTTAGGGTTGGGTGATTGGACGAATATATCGACTATCCCATCGTCGATAGTTTTTACAAGAGCGATTTGTTTATTTATTTGCCCATGAGTACGTTTGCTAATAATGATAGAGCTAACAGAAGCAGTCAACAGAAAAATAAAATCATAGCGCTGTTTTAACAGGACCCTCTTTCATCTGCGAGCAAATGCTCAGAGTGCGCCCATATGCAACGAGTCATTTACTCAATCTCATAACAGAAAGGCGGTAGCCTCAGAAAAAACCAGTTGGATGGAGGACACGTACATGCTCATGCATCCAAACTGGCTACTTTTTTTGGCAATTAGTTCGTGTTTGGACTTTTTCTGTGTTGTAAATGCTCAAATCAGACTGTGCATGATTACAGACGTGTCCAAATTAATAGGCTGGGTTTGAAAACGATGTGTCGGGAGTTTGCTGTTCTTACTAGCTCTAGTGACCCTTGAACCCCGGCGAGCTATCAGGCTGTTGAGTAACAGACATTTAATGTGTGATGTCTTGATAAACCGAGCAGATATTTACACAGCTACATTCTTGCCTGAAAATATCTTAAAAGTTTAGTTTGTGACCCAGAAAGAGTAATAAGAGTTATATTAAAACTAAGCAGCTGCCGCCATTGTAGGAAACTGGGCCGTGCTATGAATTCTGGGATATGGTGGGCCACGCCCATCAAAAAGTCTGCGCATGCGCGAATGTATCACCCACCGTTGGTTATTGGACTTACGATTGCCGGTTGGAAATTTTTTACATATCACCCAACCCTAATACTATTCTCTCCCCCATCCTCCACTTTAACTGTTTTATACACAGTTTGCTTTTGCATTGTTACCTATCCTCAGAACATCTGTCACTCTGAGTGTTAAACGTAATGATAAAAACCTGGAACAGCAGCAGGACTCACAGGTCAGCTATTAAGACATTTCCATCTGCTGTCCTTGTTCAGAAGGAGACTGGTACTTTGAATTCCTACATTTTCTGTAGATCACAAAACCAACAACAGCAACAACAACAACAACAACAACAAGCACAGCAGAAATTGACAGACCAACGATCAGTCCAACAGATCCACTCTTCTCTCCTTCATCCTCCTTCCCTCCACTTTGTCCTCTTGGTTGATCTGCTGGTGAGAAACAGGTGTGAGGTGTCTGTGAGTCCACTGTTGGACCAACATCAGTCACTCTGAATGTTGAACTGGCTATTCATGAATCTGAAACAAGCAGCAGGACTCACAGTTCAGTTTGGAAGCCACTGATGGAATTTCAAAGCCCCTGATCCTCAGGGGCTGGTAATCTGGATTTTGTCTACGTCTACATGTTCTGTAGATAAAAACAGCACCAACACCAACAATAACAACAAGCACAGCAGGAATTGACAGACCAACGATCAGTCCAACAGATCCACTCTTCTCTCCTTCATCCTCCTTCCCTCCATCTCCACTCTGTCCTCCTGTCTGATCTGCTGGTGAGAAACAGGTGTGAGGTGTCAGCTGTCAGGTAGGTGATGAGTGAAGAACAGAACAGAATCCATTTCCTATTCAAACTGCTGTCAGACATTATCTACTGCACTCTGATCACATCACTCAGACCAGCTGCTTTCTACAAAGTCTCATCAACAACATCTTTAGAAACAAACATCAACAACCAGGAAGCAGCTTCACCTCTGATCACACACACACTCAACTCTACTCACTCACCTGGTTCTTCTACCTTCAGGCTGATGTTGTTCAAAAGCTTAGCAGCCTGATTGTTGTATGCTGCATAACATTCATATGTTCCAGAATCGTTCAAGGTGACATTCTGGAGAATCACTGAGAAGTTTCCATTCGTCATCCATTTTGAATCCTTCAGCTCCACCCGACCTTTAAACAACTTATGCTGGAAGTCTTTCTGAAAATGACCATCTTTTAAGTAAATGACATAATTATCTGTCTGCAGGTCAGGTTTGGTCCACCTTAACATTATTTCAGTAGCATCACTGGGGCCGTAACACTCCAGAATGGCATTTTCTCCTCGTCTGACTTTGACCTCCTTTTGGCCTACAGAAGGAAAAGATGAGAAAAAAAAGGAAGAAAAATCAGTAACACAGTTCTAACAAACTATTTAATTTCAATGCAATAATTCAAGCAGTCTTCTCACTTTAAACTGAACATATCACAAAAAGGATGATAAGATGATGGAAAAAGAAAAATATGTATGAGAGTTGATAAGTGAATAACGAAGCTTTACTTGCTTTACTTTACTTTTAAAGCAGTGATGATATATGTTTCTGTCTTTAGATGATGAAAAAAATGTCTAACCTTTAAAAACTAATGTTTTGCTTTAAATCTAGAGACATTTTTGAAAATTAACTTTAAACATGTTGCTGATTTAAATAAATATAAAATGCATATTAAAAATGGTCTACACATAAATGTACCTTTTAATCAGAATCAGAATCAGAATACTTTATTGATCCCTGGGGGAAATTATTTTTTTGTTACAGTGCTCCATAAAGTCATAAAGTCAAAGTCACAGTCATAGTGCTTTCAGGTGTTTTCACAGATACAGGATGGAGCCATGACATCGAGTTAAAATTCGGTTTGTTGAACAGTGCTCGCCTAAACGGAACCATGTGATTTATGAACCATAATGAGATTAACATTTGTTTGAGTTTAAAAAAAAATCAAACAAATGTTAAAAAAAAAAAAAATTCTACATGAATAAATCATTTCATGTCTCAGAAATGAAAAACCATTATAACAGTGATTCTCAGTGTTTACAAATTTACAAAAGTTTGTGTTTTTTCCATTGTTTAAGCACTGCTTCCAGCCAAGAGTGATGCCATAAATCCCCTATAGCTGCAGAAAAGGCTAACATTGTTATCTTTTTACAAAAAAACAGCTGAACATGAGAGGTTTTTGGACCAATTTTGTGTTCTCCATTCTTTAAGCACCGTTTAAGCACCGGCACCGTTTCAAAAGTACCGGTTTGGCACCGGTATCGGATAAAACCTAAACAATACCCATCCCTAGTTAAAATACTGATATCCAGTGTAAATGTTACAGTACCATCTATGAACTATTAATTGGATTGTTTCACAGATCAGTTTCATGAGACTCGCAGTTTGTAGAGAGTTTTAAGCAGAAGCTGCCCCCACGTGAAAAGTCTGTATGTTTGACTGAGTCCATGTAGTGGTCTCTTCTATTCACGGATTGTAATAAATGTAGATGTAGCCACTGTGATGCACCCATTTGCTTTTAATGTGTTTTTTTTTGTTTTGCTTTTGTTTTTTTGTTTGTTTTTTTACTAATAATTGTATTAAAAACAAAGTTCCTCTTGCTTGAAAATCCAGGAAGGACTAATAAAATAATGTCTGCACAGATTTGAATCCCTGACAGGATGAATATCAAACAGCTCAATAATGAAGGGAAGTTTATAAAATGTATTTATATTCACAAGCACAAGTCACAAAGTGCTATACAACAACAAAAACACAACATCAATAGAGAATGCAGCAAATGCCCTACCTATGGAAACAGCGACATCTGCAATACCATAGAACAAGCATAAGCTTTAGTTACACCTTTGTGTACAGTGGAGAGCCAACAGCCAAGTAGTCATTTCTCTTAAGGTCCCATTATATTCACTGCAGTAGACACGAGTGTGCTGAGCAAAAACAGCAATGAACATTATTGTCTGGAGTCACACCCACGATGTGACCACCATCTCAGCCCACAACACCTACAGTCAGTTTGGATTTCTGGACTCATGTGGGTTCTCATCACCATTCTGTTTTGACTCTTTTAATCCGGGTGACACTGATGGGTGTGAGGGTGTCCGCACAGCGTAAATCACCACACTGCCTGTTATTTCTGCATGTTTCTAAATCGTTGCTTGGGGGTTTTGTTTCTAGGATTCATGGTGGTGTAGTCTTATCTCTTTGAAGAGAACCAGATAGTAGGAATACTCAGGATCGAATACTTGGAAAGACCAACTGAAAGCAGCTGCAGTAAAGGTCTGGCAGGGCATTAAAAAGGAGGAAACCCAGCATGTGGTGATGTCCATGGGTTCAAGACTTCAGGCTGTCATTACCAGCAAAGTGTTTTCAACCAAGTATTAGAAATGAACATTTTACTGACAGTTATTTAATTTGTCCAATTACCTTTGAGCCCCTGAAAAGAAAGGAACGTGTTAAAATATGCTTTAGTTCCTCACATGTTTATGCATCTCTTATGTACCTTTCTGTTTAACTACCTGAATTAAAGCTGAAAGTCTGCACTTCAACTGCGCCTGAGTCATGTCATTTAAAATTCATTCTGGTAATGTACAAAACCAAAATTAGAAACAAGTTGTCTCTGTCCACATAATCATGGATCTAACTGTATTGCAGTCAGTTTGCAACCTGCTTCAGCTACAGGACCAGAACATGTCTGTTTATTTCTCCTAACTCTTGTTCTGTAACTTTTATTTGGTTGTTTGGTTTCTTGGTTTCACTGTGGTGTACTCTCAACAACTCTTTTTGAAGAGAAATAGATGGCTTGGATATTAGAGAAAAGATATTGGGAAGTTCACATGTTCCCACTCTAATAATACAAGATAAGCGATGTCTCAATATGTAGCTGGTGGAATGACATGCCAGTTTGCTACTTGTTTCACCTACAAGAGCAGACTGGTGTTAAGACTTTCCTGAGCCCTAAGAAAAACAGACTCTACCTGTGAATAGTGGTGTCTCAAAAAATATATTTTTTGAAAAATTAGAGGCAAAAATCCACAGAAATTACAACATGGGATGTGTAACATGTGTACAATAACATCAAGCAGGCCTATGAAGTGATAGCCCACCCCCACCTTGGACAAGCTGATCATCTCCATCCCTCCCTGCACCCCTCTTAGGAAACAAACCCCTCCAAGCACCCGGGTCATTAAAACAGGACTGTTTTGAACATCTTTGAACAGCCGGACCTGGAGACCTGCACTCAGTCTGTTACTTACATTTTTTTTAATTAAGATTATTTGCAGTCTGTGTTTTTAAGGCATTACTGAAAGCACTGTGAATAAAAACAGGCAGGTAGAAAATAATTAATTTGATAGATTTATAACACTATATTAATATTATTTATATTCCATCAAAACAGCAATAAATAAAACTGACTGGTGTTTAGCATGCACTCTGGTTTTTGTTTGTTTTTTAAGCATCTCCGTCTGTGGAAAATTAGCGCTGATAACACTAGTGATAATACACACTTCCTTTTTCACTTAGAAATATACACACAAAAGTATAACTACATACACTTCACTGTGATATATTAAAAAAAACTATTTTGGATAAATGCATTTATTATTCTGTCTTCCTATACCCACATATTGTAACTGCCTGCTGGCCTCTTATGGCAAATGGCTGAAATGTAAATAAATCACGTGGCGATGGTGAAGAGGGGACTTTCTTCTGGGGTGGAGCATTGGTCTTTGATTTTATATCGATGGTAAATGGCCTGTATTTCTATATTTCTAGCTAAAAAGTTGCTTTGCGGTAATGTAATCACTCAGCTCTAAAACAAATCTACTGTTAAGTTTAAGTTAAAATTCCACTTTTAAACTTATTTTATTCAGCAGCTGCGCCATTGGAAGTGAAAGTGAAACCACGACTTGAATTAGACTTTGACTTAGAAGTTGTGACTTTCACCATTACAGAGTTACATCGATCCACGAACTGTTACAGTAACTATATAAACCTCCAAACTCCGCACATTACAAGGATAGCAGATGTTTACCAGGTTACCTTCACAGTCAAGATGTCCCAGCAGATAGAAGATAAATACTCCCGTCAGGACAGTCAATGGTCGTAACGCCGCCATTACAGTCGAAAGGGACTCTATAACAAATGTTACCGAAAGTTAACGTGTTTGTTTTGATATTTACAATGGAGCATTACCGATGTTACACATCGCTGACAAAATACGCCAGGTAACAAGTGGGCTTCACTAATGCGGTTACCTGAAAGAAAGAAGCAGAAATTTCATCGGGGCGCTCATCCAGGCTCAACTTTCACGAGAAACATCGGACTCAACTCAACTCTGCTTTCTTCTTCTTCTCACTTCTTCTTCCTGGAATGGGAAGTTTGATATTGTGGCGTGTTGGGGGAGCGGCTAGTTCTCTCCCATCATGCCTTGGGACTGCTGTTTGGATGTTCTTGTTTTGTTGTTTATGGTTACACTACTTTTAACTGTTTTCTTGAATGTTGTGTTTGTACTGCAGTTCAAAGGCACTTACAGTGTTGTTTTATAGAATGAATGCAACCGTGGGTGAGTTCTGTTATGCTGTTGATGACCCTCGAAGCACAGTGTAGCATCAGAGTGTGTTGTAATAAAGAGCTCCCCCTATCAGCTTGGGGTTGAATAACAATCTCTCTCTGTGAGGTTCTTTGTAAAGATTCCCCTGCATGCCACAATAAGTTTATGGCGTTTTGACGGTGTGTCGAGCCTCCGAAACACTGCTCCGAAGCCTGGTTTGAAACGCCCACAACTCACGTCATCACGACTAAACAGACACCCCTGGATTTATTGTGATTCATCATTGTGAGGCGGCAGGATCATTTTTTGTAATCAGTAATTACTGAATTAATCTTTTTCATGCAACTGCTTCTGTTTTCACACAGACACACACGCGCGCACACACACATACACACGCACACACAATTGCACTTTACACACCACTGCCTTTGTAATGCAGATGCTGCTCTACAAACAATTCTTACTCTCAAGAATTTTCCTCACGCAGAAAGTAATCCTCAGTATCCTGCCTGAATGACTACCATCTCATCGCCCTGACATCATCATGAAGTGCTCCGAGAGACTTGTCATGGCACACGTGAAAAGCAACCTCCCCTGCTCACTGGATCCGCTGCAGTTTGCATACTGGCCAAACAAGTCGACCGAGGATGCTTCACTTCTCTCTCTCCCACCTGGACAAGAAAAACAGTTATGTCAGAATGCTGTTCATAGACTTTAGCATTCAACACCATTATCCCCCAAAAACTGTTTAACAAACTCAGCAAGCTGGAACTGAGCACCTCTCTCTGCAACTGGATACTAGATTTTCTGTCAAGGTGTCCTCAGTCCATCCGAATCGGTGACAACATCTCCAGCACCATCAGGGTGAGCACAGGAGCTCCTCAGGGCTCATGTAAATCTGTAAATCTCTCCCTTCTGGTTGACCTTTTAACTTCTGGAGTTTAAATTTCAGAAGCTCTTTCACAAATTTGGCATCCATTCATTATCCATTATCAAGAACAGCTTATGCTCCACTGCACAACAAACTCAAAAATAAAAACACAGTACTAACCATTCAGCACACCTCCATCACTCATGTCACACACACAATCAATACTCATTCACGATGTCTCTAATTGTTCTGCTGTCTCCTCACTAAATCCAAAATGTTTACATTACCTGAGCCAGTATGTAACTACCAATCCACTCCAAGTGTGCTGATTAATTATGTGTATTTGCCCCAAATGTTCCTGACACACACTTTATGATTGTCTCACATGACTGAAATTACACCAATGAAATATTAAAAGGCACTACTCATTCATTTCAGATGATTTTCAAATTTATTTAATAAGCAAAAAAAGACATTGTGCTGAATGCCAAACATTAGTGTATAAACTTTTCATGAATACATAATTTCTTGTTATTGAATCTATTTAATTTGAAAATCATCCTGAACAAAAGTAGTGGTGATTTTTAAAATTTAATTTTCATAATTGGACATTTCATCAAGCTGAAAATAAATACACAGGGACATTTTATTTATGTAACAGTTTATTTGCAAGAAGCAAGAACAGAAGAACATTATTGTGCATGAAGGAAGTGTCATGATAGAGCCAGGTGCCGGTGTGTCACGAGTTAATCCCGTCGTAGACTGTGAAACGTTGCCACAGGCGGTACTAATGGATTGCAACGATTGGAAGTCAAAATTTTAAAAAAGCTACTCCTACTGCTGCAAAGTATCATAATAATTGATTCGATTCCGATTCACAAGGTCCCAAATCGATTTGATCCCTGATTTCAACTCAATTTGATTCTATTTGAATCTGGGAAATTTTTGCCTCACACAGTCAGAAATATTATATTTCTGATCACCTATGAGTAAGTACATATCCATATTTTTATATCTATAAAATCAAAGCTGACACTTTATCAGAGGTGTAAGCATCACAGCAGATGTCTTTGTGTCAAAGTAACTGAGGATAAAACACAGAAAAACATGAAGGAGACGGAAAAAAAAACAGCTTTGTGTTTACGTCTTTGTGTGGAATCCATTTATCTGATTTACTGTTTTTGCTGTTTGGTGGTTTTGGAATGACAGCTTTAACCTGAGATTCTGGCAAAATACATTTATATTTAAAAATGATTCAGGATTTTAATGAATCAATAACAAGTTATTCAAGCTAGAATCGATTTTAATTGGAAAATTGATAATTGAAACCCCACCCCTATTGCAAAGAACCCAGAATTTGGTTAAACATTTACAATTCATGATTTACAAAGACTTTTTCAAAATCCTTTATCCTAACAATGAACAGCAACGATGGGTGCATTAACACCCATATACAATCTAATCAGAAGAGCCAAACGTAAATAAATATGGAACAGAGTTGCAGTCAAAAGTTTATGAACTGGATCAGAGAACAAAAGCAAAGTGGAAACAGTTGATAAAAACACAGAAATAGATTAGCACGAGCCATAAGGTGACATCATTAACCTCCTTGCCCAAATCCTGCTCACCATTGGTGGATCTGGTTATCATCTGGGGGCAGGCAGCTCAGTTACCTAAAATTGGAATAGAAAGGATTTAACTTTATCATGGTTTCAGTTAGAGACAGCTCATAATCATCAGGTTGTTAATAACTGATTGACAGGTCAGTGTGTTGCCCATGGCTGTGTGATGTTAGAGATTCACCTTGAGGAGAGTGGAGATGTACTATGGACAGAACAACAAACACCAGGTAGCCCATCAGAGTAAACTCAAAATGCAGGAGGGATATTGCGGGGGGCGAAGCTCCAGATGTAATTTGAGGTTTTTCTGCAGAGAGAATCCCACATGTTCAGGTTAATGTGTGGATGAAATAAGAGGTGAAATCAGAGTGAAGCTCCTCACCTGTGACAGTGATCCAGCTGGATGGAGACTCTCCATGACTGCTGATGTCACACTTGTAGAGGCCTTCATCAGACCTGGAAACATGCTGGATGGTCATGTGACCTGTAATCTTGTTTCCAATGAAGATGCCATTTTTAAAGAAAGCAGCTGTGAGGTTGGAGGGAGTGGTCTTTGTTTTACAGAGCAGAGTGACGTCATCTCCCTCCATCACAGGGAGGACAGGACTCTGCAGGATCACTGATTTATCTGAGCACAGAGACAAACTACAGCATTTCATCCATTTACACACAGCTTCATCAACACTAACTCCACACACTCAGCTTACCAGCGACTGTCAGGTTAACCATGTTACTGAAGGGACCCTCTCTGGACTCACACCAGTAAACTCCACTTTCAAGTGGGTCAATGTAACTGATGTTACAGTTAGAACCAGCTAGTTTCCCCCACCCATCTCCACACTGAGTGTTCTGCTGTCTGCTTGTGTTTCTCCTCAGAGTCCATCCAGCAGAGCTGTCGTCCTCCTCACAGCTCAGAGTCACAAACTCATCTTTAAACAGCTGAGAGCTGCTGGGACTCACAGTCAAACGAGCTGTGAGGGAGAGCGGATTATGCAAATTATTAAGAAAAAAATGGTTCACATGAAACACACTCTACAGCCACTTTTTTTTTAAAGTAAGCATTTCATATTTAATTCAGTCCAATACATTAGCACTGGCAATTAGATTTCTGACTATCCCTAATATTCCCAAATGCATCATTTTGTGAATATTTCAAGTTACCAATTTTGGGCTGTTCCATAGGATTACTTTTACCTATTTAGAGTACACACTGTAAGCTGTAGGACTGTGCTGGATCAATAATAATAATAATAATAATAATAACAACAACAACATGTCGTATGGGCAGAAATCTGTGCATTTTATCCTTTAAAAATTCAGTTCTCGAATAATTTCAGTTTCACTTCTCACCATTCAGTTTCAGTTCTACAATTCAATTTCAGTTCCAAAATTCAGTTTTTTGGAACTTACATCCGGTTCCGGTTCAAGCGCAGATTAATAGAACTACGTTTTACTGGCGGACCGAAAGTGTTACTGACGGGAATCTACAGCGTCTTGAGCTGAATTAAGACTTCAGAAGTCATTCGTCATGTCGAATGACCAGCGGATAAACTCTCAGGTTGGTATTAAATGTATTACATGCATAAGAACAAGCGTCATGTTAACAAATGATAGCCGTAAGGTAACTGTTATGCTTATTGTAGCTGTTAGCTAAAAACGCTAATTTAGCGTAGTTTGCCCTGAATTCAGCTTTGACAAACAAATATGATCGACTGTTTCTAGGAGAATTCCAGAGTTGTCATCTTGTACCCTCTCAGAGTACCCCCTCTGTATGCTTGCAGAGACCCCTGCAGTAGGGAAACATGCAACACAGTGTCCAAACCTTTGTATTTTAGCTTTATTTATGTCTTACACAGCATCCCAACTCTTTAGCTAACTTAATAACTTTGGACAAGCAGAGGAAGACACCCATAGTGTTAGACATGGTGAACATGAGAAAAAAGGAACACAAGAAGCAGGAGAAATACCAAGGAATCAGAGAAGAGCTCAAGAAGATGTGGAGGTTGAAGATAGCAGTGATCCCAGTGGTAATCGGAGCACTCTGTGCAGTGACTCCCAAACTAGGCGAGTGGCTCCAGCAGATCCCGGGAACAACGTCGGAGATTTCTGTCAAGAAGAGCGCAGTCCTAGGAACAGCTAAGATACTGTGCACGACCCTCAAGCTTCCAGGCCTTTGGTACCTTCTGGGAGGTCCCGAGCTTGAGCTAGTGATGGCAAAACTCTAGTTTATTTTAACATTTAGATTTAGGTGGTTAGAATTTCACTGACAAAATCTAGCCTTTTTTTCTTAGGTAAAGGTCAATATGACCTGGTGTTGCTCGTTTAACTATGTTATCTGCTAATTGTATGAAAATTCCAAGGGAGACCAGCGTCAGGTGCTTCATGAATGCTCCCTGCCCAGCAACAGCCCAGGTGGGACAAAGAACTGTTGTAACTGAAAAGATACAGAGAGTCGTGTGTGAGAGTATAAAAGAGGCGCTGCGATGTCTCAAGGGCAGAGCTCTCATGGCTGTAGAAATGGGATGTTTGCTGTTTGCTCTCCCGCTTTGCAGAATTTATTAACAGAAAATTCCACCACAAGCTTGGCGTCACAAACAGTATGGTCTGAGTGTGGGTGCTGAGGAACAACTCCAAGATGGCTGATGTCCCCGAGAGAAAAAAAATCAACCCTCTGTCTCACCAAAGCTTTAAAAATGGGGAATTGTGAGGCAAGTCCTCAGTGAAACACCGCAAGGTGGGCGATCGTGGCTCAAGAGTTGGGCGTTCGCCTTGTAATCGGAAGGTTGCTGGTTCGAGCTATACAGTCTGCTATATCCATTTCTCAGAATTCCTCTCTCCACTCGATTCACTCTTGATCCCCCAAAACTATAACCTTTTAACTTTGATTAGAGGAAGATTACACCAGCAAAGGTTTGCAGCGCATCTCCACTCCTGATTGCGTCTTCAGGCCTACAGACCTTCCCGGAAATCTGAGCAATCATATGTCTGTGAAGGTTCTCAGTCATCCAGGTCATCGTAGTCAAAGGAGCTTGCAAAGAAAAGCGTCTGGACTTCTTTAAGTTGCTTGAAGACGTTTCACCTCTCATCCGAGAAGCTTCTTCAGTTCTAAGGTCAAATGGTGGAGAGTCCCAGATATAAACCTAGTGAGAGAGACCCCCCACAGAGGGACAAAAGGACCCCCTGATGATCCTCTAATTGCCTGAGCCAAGGTGTGAAATTGGGTGTGGGCCCCAATCAGCCAGAGTTTCGGGTGGGTTCATTGTGAAACCTGGCCCCACCTTATCATGCGAATTCCTGAGATCAGATGGCCCAGGATGTGAGTGGGCGTTAAGGCGTCTGGGAAGGGATCTCAAAACTGGATTATAGATGGCAGAGAGTTGGTGTCGTAAACCCCCGCCTCTGTTCAAAGATGGTCGCTCACAGTGCACATAGATGGCTTCTTTCACTCCTCTCAAACCATCTGTCCTCTCTGTCCAAAATGTGAACATTGGCATCCTCGAAAGAGTGTCCTTTATCCTTAAGATGCAGATGGACTGCTGAGTCTTGTCCTGTGGAGGTGGCTCTTCTATGTTGTGCCATGCGCTTGTGAAGTGGCTGTTTGGTCTCTCCAATGTAGAGGTCTGGGCATTCCTCGCTGCACTGTACAGCATACACCACATTGTTAAGTCTGTGTTTTGGCGTTTTATCTTATCCTTTTATCTTATCCTCTTCACCCTCTACACTGTAGACTTCTTCATCAACTCCCCACGCTGCCACCTACAGAAGTTCTCTGACGACTCTGCCATAGTCGGCCTCATCACAGGTGAGGATGTCTCAGAGTACAGACAGTGGACTCTGTACTTTGTGGACTGGTGTCAGCAGAACCACCTGCTGATCAACACCGGTAAAACCAAGGAGTCGGTGATGGACTTCCGGAGATGTAGACCCACCACACTGACACCGGTGAACATCCAAGGAGTAGAGATTGAGATAGTGGACTCTTATATGTACCTGGGTGTTCACCTGAGTAATAAACTGGACTGTAGCCACAACACTGATGCTCTTTACAGGAAGGGTCAGAGCAGACTCTACCTGCTGAAGCAGCTGAGGTCATTTGGAATCCAGGAGCGCTGTTAAAGACCTTCTATGACTCTGGTGGCATCTGTCATTTTTTTACAGTGTTGTATGTTGGAGCAGCGGTTTATTGGCAGCTGAGAGGAAGAGGTTGGATAAACTCATCATGATGACCAGCTCTGTTCTGGGATGCACCCTGGATCCAGTGCAGGTGGTGGGAGACAGAAAGACTCTGGCCAAAATAACATCTCTCCCACCCCATGTATATAAATGTTGCTGAACTGCAGAGCTCCTTCAGTGACAGACTGTTGCATGAAGGAGCGTTTCCACAGGTCCTTCCTCCCTGCAGCTGTCAGACTGTACAATCAAAACTGCTCCCAACAAACATAGATGTTTACATCAGTGCTGTAACAACTTCTACTGCTATAACTTGCACATTACTTTTCACAGTTTATATATATACACTAACTTAATGGAAGTTACATGTCCACTTTTTAATGCACAGGTACAATACACAATCTGCACTTTTCTAATTATTCTAAATATTCTTAACTATTTAAACATCTTTCAGTATCCTGCTCTGTTTGCACACTTACAACCTAAGTTTGCCACTTATCTGTACTTTAATTTTATTAACTGTACAGTACACTGTTTGGTAACTAATGTCCATGATATAAATATGTAAAAATAGAGTATGTTTCTGTTCCGTGTCCTGTTCTGTTTGTATATGTGTGTTTTTGCTGCTGATACAACCAAATTTCCCCTTGTGGGACGAATAAAGGATTATTCTATTCTATCCACCATCGCTCATTGTAACTGAGGAGCCAGTCCCAGCTGGTGAAATGATATTTGTAAATACCTTTTGGATACTTTAAACAAACTGATTACCTTGACAGTAAAGATCACAAAGCACTGTATAGATAGAAAATGGTGATCTATGACTCTGCTGTAAAATTTGATGTTTGATGTGTGGTGGCTCCATGAAAACACATGACCCCATCCATCCATCCATCCATCTTCATCCGCTTTATCCGAGGCCGGGTCGCGGGGGCAGCAGCCTAAGCAAAGAGGCCCAGACCTCCCTCTCCCCAGCCACCTCCTCCAGCCTGTCCGGGGGAATACCAAGGCGTTCCCAGGCCAGCCGAGAGATATAATCTCTCCAGCGTGTCCTGGGTCTGCCCCGGGGCCTCCTCCCGGTGGGACATGCCTGGAACACCTCGCCCAGGAGGCGCCCAGGGGGCATCCTTGTCAGATGCCCGAACCACCTCAGCTGGCTCCTTTCGATGTGGAGCAGCAGCTGCTCTACTCTGAGCCCCTCCCGGATGGCCGAACTTCTCACCCTATCTCTAAGGGAGAGGCCAGCCACCC